GAACTCTGGGCCTGGGCACTGTCCCTCAGCTCTTCAGCTCAAGGCTAGTGCTTTACCACTTGAGCCACAGCGCCACTTCCGGCTTTTTTCTTTTTACTTATGTAGTGCTGAGGAATTGAACCCAGGGCCTCAGGTTTGCAAGGCAAGCACTCTACCACTGGGCCACCTTCCCAGCCCACTTTTCTAGGTTTCTTATGATTCTATGACTTAAGATCACCTAGAAGCCGGGCGCTGGTGGCTCACACTTGTAATCCTAGCTACTCAGGAGGCTGAGATCTGAGGATCACGGTTCAAAGCCAGCCAGGGCAAGAAAGTCTGTGACTCTTATCTCCAATTAACTGCTAGAAAACCAGAAGTGGTGCTGTGACTCAAGTGGCAGAACACAAGCCTTGAGCTAAAGAGCTCAGGGACAGCACCCAGGCCTAGAGTTCAAGCTCTATGACTGACAAAAAAAAAAAAAAAAAAAAGGAAACAGATATTGGATATCATGCCTGTAATTTCCACTCAAATGTATGTATCATAGGGGAAAAGGGTAAGGGAGGGTATAGAAATAAAAAAATATGAAAAACTGGGGAACTTGTACAAATAATATAGATAGTTGGTCTACTCCCTTCTCCCCCAACTTCAGCCATTATCTGTGATGTGTGTCAGGTCTGCCTATTTCACTTTTCTAGGTTTCTTTTTTTTTTGGGTCCGATCATGGGGTCTGAACTCTGGGCCTGGGCACTGTCCCTCAGCTCTTCAGCTCAAGGCTAGTGCTTTACCACTTGAGCCACAGCGCCACTTCCGGCTTTTTTCTTTTTACTTATGTGGTGCTGAGGAATCGAACCCAGGGCCTCATGCATGCAAGGCAAGCACTCTACCACTGAGCCACCTTCCCAGCCCCTCTATTTTATTCTTAACTTACACTTCCTTGCTGATCATATAGGACCTTCCTTACTTTGATAAAGTAGGCTGATGAGAATGTTCTTCTTTGTCTATTTGTTTCCTTTAACCTTTATCTTTTTTTCCTGTTATTTTTCTCCTCTAAACTCTTTTTTTTTGTTTGTTTGTTTTTTTTTTGGGTCCGGTCGTGGGGCCTGAACTCTGGGCGTGGGTGCTGTCCCTGAGCTCTTCAGCTCAAGGCTAGTGCTCTATTTTCATTTTGGCTTATGTGGTGCTGAGGAATCGAACCCAGGGCCTCAGGCATGCAAGGCAAGTGCTCTACCACTGAGCCATCTTCCCAGCCCTTCTCCTCTAAACTCTTAAAAGCATATAACTGATGACAGACAACATTGACATTTACATTATAAATATTCGTCTTTTGGGCTGGGAAGGTAGCTCAGTGGTAGAGGGCTTGCCTTGCATGCATGAGGCCCTGGGTTCGATTCCTCAGCACCACATAAGCAAAAAGAAAAAAGCCAGAAGTGGCGCTGTGCCTCAAGTGGTAAAGCGCTAGCCTTGAGCTGAAGAGCTGAGGGACAGCGCCCAGGCCCAGAGTTCAGGCCCCACGACTGGAAAAAATAAATAAATAAATAAATAAATATTCGTCTTTCGATCTCTTTTATATTTACTGTTACATTTTCTGTGAATTGAAATTTTTATCTTGTAAGAAATTAAACAAACAGTAATCTCTCTGTACATCACATTTATAACAATTAAAAAAGGAAATCTTCAAAAGCAAAAAAACCTGCTTTATAGAAAAATACATACAAATTAAAAATGACTTCTGTCTACTAGATTTCACAAGAAATCTGCTTGTATAGATAGCTGAGCAACCCTTTGGGAAATCTTAACTTGGAGGGTTAGCATTAGGACAAAGTAGAAGACTTCATATAAGATCTGAAATGGTAAGTTCAGAGCCAGATACACTACAAATATTGTTCAAAATTATCTTGAGGATACCTGTATAATTTATACATCAAACATAAAGAGATTTCCTATGTATATTTTGGTCTCATTTCTACATAGCTGATTAAATTTATATTCAAATTACAAAATTTGAAAAAGAAATCTGAAATTCAAAACAGTTCCTGCCTCAAATATTCTGGACAAGAATATTCAACCTGTACTGTCACACTTTGCTGTAAGGCAAAGAATTTGTCACAAGTTTAATTCAAGTCTATTTAATTCAAGCTTATTGTTATAAGTAGTTAATAGTCTTCTAAAATAATCTAATAAGTGGTATTTAAGCTCCAATGGGTAGATAATCTATTTTTTTCCCCATTGATACTTCCAAATTGGCTTTCAAAAACAATTCATCCAAAAGAGTCTATCAAAAAACAGGACAACAAAGGTAAAGAGTACCTGGTCTTTCATTCTTGCTTTTCTTGGCAATGAAACTGTATTTAGCTCTGACTCTGCCGAAATGCTCCTTAGTTCATGCTCTGCTCTGCAGGTATTTGCATTTAGTGCTGCTTCCACTTTTCCAGTGGATGGAGCTGGGGAAGAACATGCTGAGTCAGCAGGTCGTGGGGATATGCTCTCTCTTCTCTTAGTCCTGTCACCGTCATCATCATCATCACTGGACAGAATGACTAATATTATAAAGAAAATTTTACATTAAGATCAGGTTCATAGTAATCTTCTATTCCATGAAGGTAGGAACTACACCTCCAGCCCTATTTGGCAACTTTTAAAATATATTACAGGAATATGCAATTGGTGCTATAGTTGTACAAATTCTATAATCACAACTATTAATGCAGCTACAGCAACAAGTTACAAAAATTAAATGTTTATCAGCAGGTTTACTTTAGAACTTCAGAAAGTTTCAAGTATGAAAATTATTTACAAGCTGTTTTCAAAATGGCTTTTTCTTTTTTTTTTTGGTTGTGGGTCTTGAACTCTGGACCTGAGCACTGGTCCCTGAGCTCTTCAGCTCAAGGCTAAAGGCTTGTGCACTACCACTTGGGCCACAGCGCCACTTCTGGTTTTCTGGTGGTTCACTGGAAATAGAGTCTCACAGGTGTTACTGCCTGGGCTTGCTTTGAACTGCGATCCTTAGATCTCAGCCTCCCGATTATCTAGGGTTACAGGCGTGAGCCACCAGCACCCAGCTTCAAAATGTATGTATTTTTAATATGAAACCTCCTATTACCATAAAACCACTGGCCAGTGCCAGTGACTCATGCCTGTAAACCTAGTTACTTGGAAGGCTGAGGACAGTGGGTCCAGTCAACTTGGACAGAAAGGTCCATGAGACTATCTCCCCTGAGGGAAGCTAGTCACAGTGATGTGAGCCTATGATCCCTGTAATAGTGGGAAGCTAAAAAGTAGGCAGTTGTCAACTCAGGCTCATTTCTGACCCTGAAAAATTACCATATGAAGATAAATTACTCCTTCAGCATATTACTGAACCTTATTATCTCTAGATAGTAATCTTCCAGAGCCACCAATACAATTCTTGATTTTAATTCCAACTTTCTTATTCTTACTTTTAAACATACACAGTCTGACCATTTTACAACTATGCCATAATGTTCTTGTTTTTCTCTCTTTATGCTTCAGGCAGACAAGCTAGTATTTCTCAAATATCATAGGTTTAGTTCTGCTTAGACTGCTTGTCCTTCAACATGCTACTTTGTTATCAAATATTAAATATCATATTGACTGACAATCCAACCTAAAGTAAGCATAAATGTACAGTACCCAATTATATCAGCTTATTAAATATTTGGGTTTTTTTCAATGTTTATTTTGCAAGAAAGCAGGGATAGATATAGTCTTGTAGATTGCAGTATTTCAAACCTTGAGAAGGGTCTTGAAAAATTATGCTGTATGAATGTATAACAGTTCTCATTTTTAATATCCCACACATAAATGACAAGTTAATATTTACTGATTAATGTACATGTCCTAGAGCATCATACCCATTATGCTGCTAGTCTCTTATTATTTTGTTGCCCAGTCTCAGGAGCAAATGCTAACCTTTATTTTTTGCAGAACTAGTTATATGTTGGCTTAATTTCTCTTCTGTATGCAATGTGAGAAGAGACAAGGGTAACTACTGCACAGTACTGCTGCAAAGAACAAATGATATATTTAAGATGCTTGGCACAGTACTGTGTGTGTGTGTGTGTGTGTGTGTGTGTGTTAGAGAGAGAGAGACAGAGAGAGAGAGAGAGATAGTTGCATGCACTCAAAATTGCTTTTAAAAAATTCATGTACAGTTTGTATTGGAAAAACCACATAGACAGCCAGGTACAGCTCAGGCCTTGTAATTCAAGCTACTCAGGAGGCTAAGATCTGAGAATCAATGGTTCAAAGCCATCTTGAGCAATTAAGTCCATTAGATTGTATCTTCAATTAACCACCAAAACAGAAGTGGAGCTATGGTTCCAGTGGTGGAATACTGGCCTTGAGCAAAACAAGCTCGGGAACAGCGTGCAAAAACCTCGAGTTGAAGCCCTAGGACCAGAACCCACCTCTGCCATCAATAAAAAAAATAATAAAAAGAGTTGACTGTACATTAGTTTATTTCATTATTTTTTGTTGCTGTAATTTTTTGGGGGGAGGGGGTTGGTCATGGGGCTTGAACTCAAGGCCTAGGCGCTGTCTCTTGAGCTTTTTCACTCTATCACTCTGAGTCAGTGCCACTTCTGGTTTTCTAGTAATTCACTGGAGAAAAGGATCTCACCAACTTTACTGCCCAGGCTGGCTTTGAACCAAGATCCTCAGATCTCAGCCTCCTGACCAGCTAGGATAACAGGTGTGAACCACTGGTGCCTGGTGTTATTAACTTTTTATTGGCATACATTTCTGCCACAAGGAGGAATTTCACTGTGACATTTCAATTCATGTATACAATGTATTCCAATCAATCTTGCCCCCGATTTCATCCTCTCCCTATCCTAAAACAATTTCAGTATGTTCAAATTTCTATATTCATATAAGCAATCTACTTCCACCATCCCCATCCTCAACCACCTCTTTGATAAACCAAACCTTCCCACTAGTGCCTACCATAACAGCTCTACTCAGGATCTTTAGTTTCTTATTGAAAGGCTGGCTTAGTGATAATATCCAATAAGTGTCTATTAGGTGACTATTATACATACCTTACCAGTAGGAAAGATTCAAATACTGTTAAGTTTTTGATAATGCATCGATATACTTCTCAAGTGCTTCATATCTACACTTCCTTACAAAGTATCACAGCTGGGAACACAAAGTCTGAGTTCTTTTTGAAAAAATAATGTAAAACGCTGTATAGATTGAGATTTTTATATTAAACTGAATTATAATAGGATTTGATTTATATCTCTTAATCCCCCCTTTATTATAACTGGTTTTCAGAATAATGCTTTGAAATTCTAAACAATGTCCCAAGGTAACAAATGAAAACCTTTTTTCCTATCTCTGAGAGGTGGGAAGTATTATAACTAAAGTTTTTTTTTTAATACATCAGAACATTTCAATGACTAATAGTTTTAACTCTTTTTGCTATTCAAAAATCTCTCATTTGTGGTTAGTGGCAGCTCTTCAACTTTAGCTCTTGTATACTTTTGACAAGTTCATAGAGCTTTTCATTTTTTTAAAAATTATTACTTTCTCATATGATGATCTAGTGCTTCAGACTTGGAATAAGACATCTGAGGCTGGGTGCCAGTGGCTCACGCCTGTAATCCCTAGCTACTTTGGAGGCTGAGCTCTGAGGATAATGGTTCAAAGCCAGCCTGAGGAGCAAAGTCTGTGAGACTCTTTTTTTTTTTGGTCGGCCATGGGGCTTGAACTCTGGGCCTGGGCGCTGTCCCTCAGCTCTTCAGCTCAAGGCGAGCGCTCTACCCCCCCACTTGAGCTACAGCGCCACTTCCGGTTTTCTGGTGGTTTATTGGAGATAGGAGTCTCACGGTCTCTCCTGCCCGGGCTGGCTTTGAACCGCGATCCTCAGATCTCAGCCTCCTGAGTAGCTAGGATTACAGGTGTGAGCCACCGGCACCCGGCTTGTGAGACTCTTATCTCCAATAAACGACTCAGAAAACTGGAAGTGGCGCTGTGGCTCAAGTGTAGAGCGCTCACCTTGAGCTGAAGAGATGAGGGATAACGCCCAGGCCCAGAGTTCAAGCCCCATGACCAGAAAAAAAAAGACATCTGAGCAACTGATTATTATTAGTAAAGAATAGCATTTTAAGATATGAATATGAAAACTATTGCTTTTCTTTTTTTAAGTCATTCATCTCTACACCAGGGTTTATTTACTGCTTCTCAGTATTTCTATGCATGATTTTATATAGTAAATTCACACCATTATCTATAATTCAAGTTTAAAGACACAGGTCTTTTGCTTCTTTGATTTTATTTTTTGTGTTCCTTTTCTCTAACACTGAAAGATACAATAATGTAAGTACTCATTTGCTTTGTCAATGCTTTCAAAAATAACAATACTATTTAACAGACTTAGGATTCCTGTTTAGTTCTAGTTAACCATAAATAAATATATCACATTAAGGATGTACAGCCACAATACTTTAATCACTTGAAATAACTGTGTTCCCCCATTAACTAAATATGTAACAGGTTAACTTTTGTTATTAAAAACAAAATTTTATTTTAAATTTTTTGTAGGGCCATGTGTAAGGGGGCTCCTGACTGCAATCCCAGCTACTATGAGCCAGAGCTTAAAAGATGGTAATTTAAGGCCAGCAAGTCTTCCCACCACTCCGCCCTTCAAAGTTAGCAACACTTTTGTCTCAAAGCCATATTATGGCTCATGTCTGTACCATCATGATGGAAAGGCCGAGAGCAAAAATGCAGTCTGAAGTTGGCCCAGGCAACAAATGTGACTCTGTGAAAAATAACTTAAGCAAAAAGGGTTAGAGCCATAGTGCAAGTGGGACTGCTCTTGCCTAAGAAAGCACAAGGTCCAATAATAGGTAAAAATCACATTTTAAAGTTACATAAAATATTATGTATTCCTAAGGTTAAATTATTAAAGGTGTATTTTACAAAATCTTTATCTATTCTTAATGCCTACATTGTCTGCTCCCTTTCAAATCAACTACTTTTTTCTATAGTTTTTGATAATCTACCTAAAACTCACATTTCAGGCCTGGAGAAATGGCTCAAGTAGTAGAGGAACTTCCTAGTAAGCTCAAGGCGTCAAGTTCAAATCTCATTATCATATACACAAAAATACACAAAGTAAGTAAAACCTGTATTTATTCTCTCACTACATATAATGTACAGCTGTGTCTATACCTAAGATCTAAATTATACACTCTTCTTCTATCTCTACACTATGTACCTTGTAGTTCAATCAACCAGTCCCTAATTAACTTTTCCCTTTTAGAATGAACGTTTCTAGCATATCCAAAGACAAAAATAACTTTAGGGAAAGAAGGAAAGTGGTTAAACAACAACAAAAGCAAACCTGATTTTCACCGAGTCCTTGCTATATGTCAAATATAACATCAGGTCATACTTACTTGGCACTTATATACCGTTTTATCTATCTGCCCAAAAACACTATCAGAAGGAAATACATGCATTTATAATCAGACAGATTCACTATGCTAAAAGAGAAAGCTCAGCACTACTAGTACTTGGACCAACCCAGTTCTCTTTTACAAAGTCTGTTATTTTTTTTCCCAAGGATGTGGACATGTTTTAATCATGTACCTGTAAAGGATGTTATTTATTGGACACAAGACACCTAGTAACACCACATTTCTCAAGTATATATACATTCAAACTAAAAAATGTACATGAAGAACATTGAATAAATGCATTATTTAAAAATATACTTACTTGGGTCATTTAGGTCAGACAAGCTTGTTTTTCTTTCTTTCAAATTTGTGGCTTTGGGTATTTTTGTCGGCAAAATGACTTTCCCATTAGCGTGCAAATAATGATGTCTACTATCATCACGGTTCACAATAATATCAATTGGAATCTTTTCCATATTATTTCCATAAAACTTCTTGGTTGTTAATCCTGTGTTTTGTAACTTTTGTCCACCAGAATTCTGATGAATTGACGTTCTTAATAATGCTGCAGTAGAGTCATTTAATGTTACAGCTTGTCTGCAATTTCTTTGCAAATCATTATGAAAAATAATACCACAACTTTGGCATTTGGTCTGGTTTTCTTTTTCTTTTCCACATTTTGGGCAACATTCACGCTGTTCAGAAACCTTATATTCCAAAAGAACAAAAGAAAGAAAATATTTTGGTATACTTTAGCATCAAAAAACTACTTCTAGAAGTCTCAAATATAAATCCTCCTTTCCCCATCATCACGATCACGAGGTCCTGATAACAAGAATAGGCATGAGAATATGGGAGAATTTCATGTCTATGAAGTACAACAGTAAGCTATATGTAAGCTAATCTATCTGTAAGAACTGGAGGGTAAGGAAGGTGAAAAACGTTTATTATAATTAATATATATTAAAGTTAATGACAGGAGAATAAACATTGGGGAGCTGGTACCAGTGGGAAAGGAGAGGGATAATAGAGATGGTAAATATGTATTTTAGGTGCATATATGGAAATAAAACAATTTTGAACTCATTTTAAGAAAGGAGAGGGAGGAAGTGGCGCTGTAGCTCAAGTGGTAGAGCGCTCACCTTGAGCTGAAGAGCACGGGGACAGCGCCCAGGCCCAGAGTTCAAGCCCCACCACCAACCAAAAAAAAGAAAGAAAGAAAGGAGAGGGAAAAGAGAGAAGAACATAGGCAGTCAAGTTCAATGAGGTACATTACATATACAAAAAAAAGTCACAATAAAACCCCTCTTATAAAAGAATTATATGCTAGTTAAGAAAATCTTTTTTGGGCGGGGAGAGGCGCTATCCCTCAGCTCTTCAGCTCAAGGCAAGCATTCTACCACTAAGCCACCTTCCCAGCCCCAAGAAAATCTTCAAAAAAGGAAAGAATTAAGAGGAGGCTGGGAGTGTACCTTAATGATAGAAAGCATAGAGAGCATGCGCAAGGCCCTGTGCTAGTTCCCAGTACTGCAAAAATTGAGGCTATGAGACCAAACTGTGACTGACTTCAATACTTTACTGTCTATAATAAAGGTACACAGAACATATACATACATACATACAAAATTTCATGAAAAAGCCAAGTCCCAGGTATTTACTTTCAAAAATTGACAGTGAAAAATAAAGGTATAACCCTATTACTGAAATCCCTAATATTAAGAAAAAACAGGTACCAGTGGCTCACACCTGTAATCTTAGCTACTTGGGAGGCTGAGATCTGAGGAGCCAGCCCAGGCAAGAAAGTCCGTGAGACTCTTATCTCCAATAAAACACTAGAAAACCGGAAGTGGCTCTGTGGTTCAAGCTATAGTGCTCGTCTTGAACTGAAGAGCTAAAGGACAGTGCTCAGGCCAAGTTCAAGCCCCACGACCAACAAAAAGAAAGAAAGAAAAAGAAAAGAAAAAAAAGGAATCCTGAGCCTTGGCACATCATCTTTCAACAGCTAAGAACATTTGTCTTAGAACTGTTTGCAGCAACTACAAACAAAGTCTTTATAACTAGAGATTAATAATTTCATAAGGCTGGAGATTTATTTCAAAGGCAGAGTGCTTACAGAACGTGTACAAGACCCTCCATGGCTTAGATCCCCAGCACTCAAAATATAAAACAATAAATAAAAAGGAACCAAACCAAGAAAAACAAAAACCCTTAAGAATCTCCACATCGCCCCCCCCTCCCCGGCTCACTGTTTAGTGCCAGTCCTGGGATTGAACTCAGGGCCTAGATGCTGCCCTGAGCTTTTGTGATCAAGGCTCATGCTCTATTACTTGAGCTATAGCTCCACTTCCAATGCTGGTGGTTAACTGGAGGTAAGAGTTTCACAGACTTCCTTGCCCCTAAGTAGCTAGGATTACAGGTGTGAGCCACTAGCACCAGGCTAGCCCTTAGAATTTAATACTGAATACTGCCTCAGGTAGTTTTACTGAAGAATATACAATGTATTTTTCATAAAATTTTTATTAAGGATAATTTCTTCTTAAAAATAAAAAGTAATTAAAATCTCATTCTTCCCTTTTGGTACATGGAAAACTTACAAAATTAAAAAACATCCAATTATAGGACTGAGGGGTATAGCTCAGTGATAAGGAGCTGGAACAGTAATTTAGCACTGAGAAAACAAAAACTAAACAAACAAAAACACTAAAGTACATGTAAAGTTACTTGTTACATGCAAATACTCATTTATATACTTAAGAAGGAGCTCGTGTGATGGAACACAGAGATGACAGTGTTGTTTTCTTAGAGGGAGTACATAGTGTGGACTTCCATTCACTATGAATGGGAAGATAAGCCATCTACTTTGCTCACAATCAAAAATGCTATAGAAGCTGGCTACAGTTCTTTATCTCCACTAAGAAAAATAATAAGAATTGTCCTGGAAGTAAAGTAAAATAAGAAAGTTAGCTTTATTGGGGAACTTTTGAAAATTCTGAGGTATTCAGCTGGTAACCCAGGAGAAAAAACTACTGAGGAAAAGTTTCCCTCCCTTTTTCCTCCTTCCTTATCTGGACCTAGCAGAAGATGCCAAGAGAGCCTGAGCTGAGCTTCAGCTGACAAGACAAGAGATTGATCACACAAAGAAAAACTGAGTAAATAACACATGAAGAGGGAGTCAAGTTTCTCATTGATGAAGTTACTATCATGTAAAATGGGAAAAGCTAAAATAAACACTGTAATATTAGACTAGCATTAAAGTAACCAGTGTGAAAAAATTTTAATACATATAACATTAATTCACATACTAAACAATATAAAACACAAAGGCTTATTTCCTAGTCCTGTCTACAGAGAAAAACTACTGTCAGACACAACATAAATGAACATTAACTAATGCCTGCATACTTTTCCTTCTACTTCAAGGAACAAAGTTCCTTGGGGAAACTGATGACTGTAGAGCTGAAACAGAGAAAACACAAGCCTAGACCTCCTTGTTATCTCAAACAGTAAAGAATATTCAAAGAATAATGGGGATACTCAGAAGGCTGAGATCTGAGGATGGAAGCCAGCCAAGTGCCAGCCAAGCAGGAGAGAGAAAGAGGGGAAGAAAGGGAGGGAAGGAGGGAAAGGGAAGGAGAGAGAAAGGAGAGAGGAAGGGAGGGAGGGAGGAAGACAGAGGAAGAGGGAGGGGTACGGAAACTCATTAACTTTACAGTATAGATATTTAGGAAACAACTAGAGTTGAAATATCACTGATATGAAAACAGGTATCATGACTCCTGATATGTTATGTACAACAAGAAATCAATTTCGTATTTCTAAGATTATGTCTTTGTTGCCTTGTATGTCCCTACCCCATGGTATAACCCCTGCTTTCACTGTATTTGATGTTGGTATATGTGGAGAGAAAGAGAAAAAACAAATTGTTAAAACAGGAATACAGGAGGACCCATTGCAACAATGTGATGTACAAGTCGTTATGTCGAAAAACGAACTTGGGCTGGGAAGGTGGCTCAGTGGTAGAGTGCTTGCCTTGCATGCATGAGGCCCTGGGTTCAATTCCTCAGTACCACATAAGCAAAAAGAAAATAGAGCGCTAGCCTTGAGCTGAAGAGCTGAGGGATAGCGCCCAGGCCCAGAGTTCAGGCCCCATGACCGTACCCCCCCCTCAAAAAAAAAGATCGTCCACATGAAAGATTACTAAAGAGCTATATAGTAACACACTATAAGTTTACAAATGAGGAACAGAACATTTTAGATTTCAGAAAATAACAGTCATCTAGAATATAACCTATTACCTGTAAAACTGAATTTGCAGCAAACCAGTCTTAAAATATGGCTAAGCAGGGCACAGTGCTGTTTGCTTATACTTTCAGCTACTTGGGAAGCTGAGGCAGGAAGACTGAAAGAGCCTAGGAATTCAAGTCCAGCCTGGGCTCTCTTTCCTATCGCACTTCCTGTTTGTTTGGTCTTACAAAATTCAATTATGTACAGAAAGAAAAGCCTTTTCCTTACCACAACTTTTTACTAAACCTTTTAGAAACAAAGAATCTATGTAGGGCTGGGAAGATGGCTCAGTTGTAGAGTGCTTGCCTTGCATGCATGAGGCCCTGGGTTCGACTCCTCAGCACCACATAAGCAGAAAAAGCCAGAAGTGGTGCTGTGGCTTTAGAACAAGCAACATGGACATTTTTAAACTAGTCTCCTAAGACTGGTTCCTAGATCCCTTACAAACAGCAAAATATACAAATGCTGAAGTCACTTTCATGAGATCTGTGCAAATCCTCCCATATAACTGAAATCACCTCAAGATTACACATAAAGGCTAATATATTGTAAAGATGAATCACAAGTTATTCTGTCGTTTAAAAACAACAACAAAAAGCCCTCCAGGATGCTTAGTACAAATGTAATTTTTACTTTTTTAATTTATCTAACCCATAATTGGCTGAATCTGATGTAAAATAGAAGGAAGGCTAAGGCTGGTGGCTCATGCCTGTAATCTTAGCTACTCAGGAAGTTGAAATGTGATGATTGCTGTTCACTGTCAGCCCAACTACCTATCAAAAAGCAAGAACTGGAGTTGTTCAAACCCCAGAACTGCACAAGTGTGAGCGTGCATGTGCGCACGCGCGCACACACACACACACACACACACAACTTGTATCTGACCAAAAATGATGTTTAGCAATTTGGAAGCTTTTTTTTTTAACCACAAAAGGAGATACTGGGATAAGCACAGATGTAACTACATTCTAAAAATTCATATTAAATGTATCTTAAATTCAAAATAAATAGGGCAGCAACAAAAGCAAAGAAACATATGTTGGATGATACAAAAGGCAGATTTCTCTTCATTTGTGTGTGTGTGTGTGTGTGCCTATCCTAGTGCTTGAGCTTTTATACTCAAAACTAGTGTTCTAGTTCTACCACCTGAACCCCAGAGATCCACTCATGTAGATTTTTTTTTTTTGGTCGGTTGTGGGGCTTGAACTCTAAGCCTCTTTGTGTTCAAGGTTAGAGCTCTACCACTTGAGCCACAGGGCTACTTCCAGTTTCTGAGTGTTAATTAGAGATAAGAGAATCTGGGTCACTTTTCTGCCCTGACTGGCTTTGAACTATGATCCTTAGATCTCAGCCTCCCAGTAGCACAATTTCCAACCCCATACATTCAAAATCATTAACCTAAAACTGAGAAACATTACACAAAGCTAATTATATGAGTCCTCATCTTCAAAATTATCAAGGAAGAGCTTGGTGCAAGTAGCTCATTCCTGTAATAATAGTTACTCAGGTGGCTGAGATCTGAGGACTGTGGCTTACAAATTTTTAAGAACACAGCCCTGGGCAGGAAAAGTTTGTGAGACTCTTTATCTCCAATAAACTAACAAAAAGGCTGGAAGTGGAGTTTTGACTTAAATGATAAAGAGCTAGCCTTGAGCACAAAGCTCAGAGATAGCACCCCCACCTCACAAAAAACAAAGGTCAAGGAAACTAATAAAACATGACAATTAATTGCAATTGGGAAGGGCATTACTGAAGAATTGGTGAATTTGAACAAAGCCACTAAAGTGAGAATCTTCTGATTCCAAGCCACTAAAGTGAGAATCTTCTGATTCCCGATTTCTTAGTTTTGATAAAGGTCCTATGATTAGGAAGATGTTAATTATGAAAAGCTGGATGGGGCTCAGGGCATCAGCCAACAAATGAAAATGTCAGAGAGCCAGTTTGAGTCCTGGTTTTAGATTTTAAAAAAAGCTGGATGAAGGACAAACATGTATTTCTATACTGGTTTTACAACTTTTATGCAAGTCTACAATTCTATTATAAAATAAAGCTAACAGCAAAAAAAGAAAAATTATTCCTAGCAACTTAATTAATGTTACTGGAGAAAAAAAAAGTTTCTATCAGAGGCTTGGGACTAGCTCAAATGGTAACCAACATATCACTTAACCTGTCTGAAATGAAATTGTTAAATGGAAACACAGAATAAGCAATGTATTGCAAAATGCAATAATTCACATATGTAACAACTAAAGGTTAAAGGGAAAAGATGAAAACAGGCTTGGAAAAATCCTCTTTATAAAACAGAGGTTATATTCAAGGCACATAGAAAAGATATTCACCCAATGTAAAAAAGAATGAAAGTTTCACATTAACTCTTGGCTATCAAGAAAATCTATATGTTTAAAATAATTAAAGAGTTCAGAACTGAAAGCCATCACAAGTTTGCTTTTTTTTTTATTTTGGTTGATCATGGGGCCCAAACTCTGGGCCTGGGTGCTGTCCCTCAGCCCTTCAGCTCAAGGCTAGTGCTCTACCACTTGAGCCACAGCGCCACTTCTGGCCTTTTCTGCTTATGTGGTGCTAAGGAATCGAACCCAGGGCCTCGTGCATGCAAGGCAAGCACTCTACCACTAACCTCCTTCCCAGCCCTCATCACAACTTTAAAAACAAGGAAAGACAACTGTTAAGAATCACTATTTTCAGCTGGGCACAATGGTGCACAGTGGCATTTGCCTATTGTCTCAGGTACTTAGAAGCCTAGGCAAGAGAATTGTGAGTTCAAGGCCAGCCTCCAACACTGTGAAACACATCTCAAAAAAAAACTGTGATTTCAAATAGTAAAAGTAAATGTTACTTCCTCATATTTTATTTTTGCATTAAAATACAAGACAATACAGCCTAATATTATAGCTCATCTACAGTTAACCTTTGGATTTCTTAAAAAGGAATACAATGAAAGATTTCCAACTATTTTCAGTTGACTGTGCAACCATCTTGCTATCAAAGTCAAAATTTTAATTCTAATTACAATTTTTTTCTGTGTATTTCTATTACTCCTGTGAATGTTCTACAGTCAGAGTTGTATCTTGTATTTTGCATGCAGCAATTCAAAATATTTCACAGGTGACACATAAAATTTCACACTTACCAACACTTTGGGGCCGACTTATCCTTATAGCATTAATTTCAGCTTTTTGGACATGAGGTGGATATTCCTTCCTATAAAAGGAAATTTATAGTTTTACTCAAATAGGAAATATACTTTTCAAAACGTTATGTTAAGGGGATACTTAAAATACATGGATATATGGATTGAAAGTAATCCAGCTTCACTGTTATACAGAAAGTATATAAAATATATAAAAAATAATGTTATGTAAATATACTAAGTAAAGCTAGAGGCATTGTAAAATCTCTAAAAAGCACTGACTATCTCACTTAAAATCAATCCCCCAGATGTTAATACAGGCAGATTGTTGAATAAGTATTTGATACATTGAAATTAGTGTCCTTTCAAAGTAATCAGTTCAATTAAATTTAATGATCTTTTATTTTTAGAGATTCATGTCTCACTACAGCCTCAAACTCCTGAACTCAAGCAATCCTCTTGCCTCAGCTTCCCAACTAAGTGGAACTACAAACCCTAGATACATCTAGCTTTCAAAATAATCACTTTACAAAGTGCTATATATCCCTCAAATGTACAAACCTGTACAATTTTTCTAAAACTCACCTTTAAGAAAAACATTAAAAGTTATACATTTTGGATAAGGAATTACACACTACAATATTGTTAAATTTGTCCAGTTTACTATAAATGTCTTTAGTTTTAGAAACAGATCAATTAAGAAATGTTAAGTAAAAACACTGATCTTGAGAACAATGACAAAATCACTAAAACAAAATGCCATGTATAAAATTAGCAACTGTGGAACAAGTATTTTAATTGTCATATGACATTATGAGAGGGAAATAAGTACACCTGCCTTAAATATTAACCTACTTTCACAGGTTTTTAAAATTTTTTTGACACAATTACTATACACCAAAGGTGGCCTTGAACTTGAGATCCTCCTACCTAAGCCTATCAGATGCTGGGATTCTATGCATGCATCACTAGATGCAGCCCAACATACAACCAATTTAAATAATAATCCTTGTAATTACGTGAAACAGAAATCCTGTAACTAGCTGTGGAACAGTATACAATAAAGTATATAATAAACTACAGGAGTTACCATACTTAACATACTTTCTGACTGTTAGTAAGATCTACTAATACTAGACCTCTGTAATCAGGTGATTAAAAAGAGGCTACCCTATTAGTTATAAATCAATTCACACTGGTAATCAATATTTTCAGGGCATATTCCTACATTGTGAAACTCAAAAGCACTTAAAATGAAAACAAAATATAACAATGACACAGCTGGGAATATAGACCAAATGGTAGAGCACCTGCCTTAAAAGCACAAGACCGTAAGTTCAAACTCCAGTACCACCAAAAAATGAGAAAGAAAATGAAAAGAGTGATGATCATGGTCTATCTGTAACAGCAGTTAGCAAACATTTGAGTTGATGTGCCAGGTACTGTTCCAAGTGTTTTGTATCTATTATCTATTTGATCTTCTATTCCAAATGATGTTATAAAGTATTTGATGATGAGGCACAATAAAAACAATTAACTCGTCCATAGTAATAAAATTATTAAATGTCAATGCCAGAAACAGAATCCTGGCATACTGTACCAGTGTTGATGAGGTGAGCAACATCTGGTACAAGTGAGCAATTTCCACCCTGCCAAGATCTGAAGATTTACAAGGGTGCACGTTATAATGTTGAGAATGTGTCATGTTGTCATGGGAGTAATGATGCTCTAAAAAAGGAAACATGCTTTCAGTTTTTAACTATACTGTATTAGGACTAAAACAAATTATATATTCTTATAGTCTTCCCATTGTCCACTGAAGAATTACATACATATAATGCAATACTTTTGTTTAAATCAAATAATTGCTTTACAAACCCTAATTTTTATAACTCTATATTCTGGAAAAAATGTCCAACTTTGTACACAGAAACTGAATCTGACATAAAATATTACCAATGTGAACACAATACTAACTGTCTTGCACATTCTTAAAATGTGGACAACGCAACAAGGAAAGCAATTCTTTCACACAGAATGACACAAGGTCTGGAAATAAAAGATTTCTATTTTGTTATAGACCATGATAGACAATTTGCTCCATGAAAGTTAGAATGTGTTTGTGACTTTAACTAAGCATCACTATCCCACAATACTGTGAAATTTGGGAAATTATGTAACCACTTAATCACAATAAAAAATTTGGGGGAAAAAAATTTCTATTTTTATTTCAAACTTGCTAATTACTTACACTGGGGCAAGCCAAAAGCACTGGATTATTCAGTAAAAATAACTGATATAAATAATCTGAAATAGTAAATCATATTTGCATACACAGTGATTAATTAAAATAAACTAGAATGAACTGTTATTATCAATTTGATACAGTACACTGAGCCATATATTGCTAATAAGGATCAACACAGTGAAAACATCACATGATATCCATAATCTTATCGTGTACTGTAATATTAATGTAATATCAATAATTATGTAACAATAATATTAATAATTATGTAAATCTGTCCCTATTTTCAGGCTTTACAGCCAGTTTTCCTGTTCTTTCATAAAAATAGAAAAAAATTAAGTGTTGTTTTAAAACCATGAACCAATAAATGGGCAAGAAAAAATTAGTATACACATAAGCATTATTAAGTTATAAATAATGAAATTATATCACTTGCAAGAAAATAGGTAGAACTAGAGATTATGTTAAACAAAATAAGCCAGGCTAAGAAAGTCAAATATCGCATGTTCTAATTTGCACAATCTAGTCCTAAAAAAAACTGTCAAGAATGTGAAATAGATGGGTTGATGCAAGCAGGATGGGGAAGGGCAAAGAACAAGGTAAAGGTAGGGAAATATTGTCAAGGATTCTACAAACATGAAGATAAAATAAAACCTAGTGAAATTCTTCCCGAAGGTGGGGAAGATAATGGAGAGTTGGAGGAATGGGTTTAATTGGGATACACAGTAAGCACATAGGGAAACATCAAATGGAATTCCTATGTACAACTAGTACCTGCCATTAAAAAATTAGAAAAAAGACACAACGAACAAAATGCAGAAATATACCTTCACTTTAAAGCAAGAACATAGGACTTTTACTATAACTTGAAGTATATGATTTATAAAATAATTAACTTTCTAGTTATAAACTATCTTGTCTCTAAAATATTGTTTTCTTTTGCTTTTGGAGACAAGAGCTAGCCATGACTATTTAATCCTTTGCCTCAGTTTCCCTTCAGTCAATACTACGGACAGATGTGTACAACAACACCTGGCCTAAAATACAGTTCTAAATTTAATTTTGTTAAATAATCTTTTCTAAAAGTGTATTTTTAAATATGAGCACAATTAGTGGCCCAATGGGATTCCGTTAACATTTCCACATATGTACACATATGTCCACATTCCCTCTATCACTTTAATCTATGTTAGCATCTTAGTTTGATGATTCTTTTTTTTTTTTCTTGTGCCAGTCCTGGGACTTGAACCCAGGGTATGCACACCATCCCTGAGCTTTTTTGCTCAAGGCTAGTGCTCTACCACTTGAGCTACAGCTCTTCCAGCTTTTTGGTGATTGACTAAAGATCAGAAACTCATGGACTTTCCTACCTGGGCTGGCTTCCAACTGTGACACTCAGATATCAGCCTCCTGAGTAGGTAGGTTTACAGGCGTTAGCCACCAATACCTGGCAATCGATACATTCATTCTTACAAAAAGAAATTTGAAACTCCCAACTGGTATGAAGTTCAAACCTATGGTCTTACTTTTCAGTAGCAAATCAAGCAGAACCAGGCAAGTTTTCTTCTCATCTCATCTTTCTTTGTAGGCAGGTAGAGTTTGCTGCTTCTTAGTGTTTGTTTTGTTAGATCTTTTAGAAGCCCCACTTTATGAACCTAAGATTTTGTAAGATGCATAAAATTTATTGTAAAATCTCTATCCATAATTTTCTTCCCCACTGATGGGATTTGGATTCAGGATGTTATGCTTCCCAGAGAGCACTTGAATCACACACCCAGACCCAGAATTGTTAATATCAAAGGGCCTCTTTGTTCAAGGTTTACTAAGGTCCAAGGTTTAATAAGTTTTCCTAGTAAACTTAATTTTGAAGGAATTTTAAGTTTGCAAAACAGTTGTGAAGACACTTAGTAATTCCCTCGCGTTCCTTGTCCTAATGTTAATACCTGAATGCACAGCAGCCTAGATTAGGACACCATGTAATCACAGCTACTCTGGAAGCTGAGATCTGAAGACTGTTGTTTGAAGCCAGCCTGGAGCGGGAATGCCCAGGAGACTCTTAACTCCAATTTAACATCCAAAGAAGCTGAAAGTGGATGCATGACTCAAATGGTGGAGTGCCAGGTTGTGCCAAAAAAAAAATCTCACAGATAGCAGCTAGGCCCTACTCCAGTACCGGCACCAAATCACAAAACAAAAGACAGATAGTAACACACACACATATATATATATACATACGTATGTATATATACATACATATAAATCAAGGGCTGAGGGCTTGATTCAAGTGGGAAAGTACACTTTGTATATATACATACATATATGTATATGTGCGTGTGTGTGTGTGTGTATATATATATATATACACACACACACACGCACACACACATATAAATCAAGGGTTGAGGGCTTGATTCAAGTGGGAAAGTACCTGTGTGCCGAGGGCAAGACCCTAGGCTCTACCTCCAGTATTGCCACAAAAACAAAACCTAAGAATAATTATTGGAACAGTTATTCCTAGTGAAACTTTCAACATTATTTGGATTGTCTCAGCTATTCCAATAGTGCCTGTTTTGTCTTCCAGGATCTAATTCAGGGCACCTGTATTCATTAGGTGACCACGTTTGTTCTCTTCCCCAGTCTGTTTTCTCAGGATTAGATTGACGTTGTGCGTCTGGGGTAAAACTCCAGAGGTAAACTTCCCTTCTTATATCAGTTGGGGTACATGGTATCAATATCACTTTTCCCTGATAATAAATTTAGTTTCTTGCTTAAGGTAATCTTTACCAGATTCATCTCTTGCATAACTATTTTTTTTTCTTTCCA